AAGGATTAAAGTTGTTTTTTCTTGCACTTTTAAAATGCAGAGTGAGCGTTAAACAAAATACCTTTGAAAGTATTATATCTTCATCCATTAATCCTTTCCTATATTTAAAACTGACTTGAAACATAAGATCATTTTAAACTTGTTGAATATTTAAGATACTATTAAGCCTGAAAACATACCAGACTGTAATGAAAGTCAAAATAAATCAGCTGGTTAAAGAAAAAAAAGGTGCCAACGATTTTACCAACAAGTTCAAGAAGAACATTAGGTTTAAGGTTAAGGTGATGTTTACATAAACAGGGTTTTGGTTTGATACACCGAATAGCAAACATACACTAATATACTTTTTTCTGCAGAATTAGGAGACGCCTTTTCAATACACAGAGTACAAACTCTCCATAAAATGCACAAATGTATAACAAATATAACTTAGTAAAGGAGCAACTGGCAGATAAACGATCTGATGGTTTGGAATTAAATTAGCATTGCAAGAAGCGGACAATATGTGTGTAGGGGCAATGAATGAAGCCCATCGTATGGGATGATTTAGCTGAAACAGCAATGCTGTCAGTCCTTTGTGTCAGCTGTTCGGGGTTAAAGCATTTAAAATCTCTTTAAAAACATTTTAGGTCCCATTGGGTGATCATGTCTTAGCTTTTCTTTTATGTTGTTGCAGCTAGCTTCAGATTATTTTACTCTATCTGGAATGAATTACAGATGATATTCTACCAGGAACTCATCCATTTCTGCATTAAGATCAAGATAAAGATTTTCTGTTATAATTTCTTCCCAGAATTCGTAGAGTGGAACCGTAGAGATGCTAGGCCAGGATAAATAAGAATAACGACTCGCCAAATTAAACATCAGTCTTCTTGTTGAAATACATTAAGGGTTTCATTTGTTAAATAAAAAACAATCTCAGATGCACAAAAAAATTGTTTTAAGATAAATCTGAGGATTTATTTAGCCAAGTTAACATTAAGAATAAAATAATTTGAATATTAAGAATTGAAATTCTCTAATTATTACACTTAAAGCATTTAAGGAAGGGCCGTTTTCCTTTATCAGGGTAAGAAATAATTTGGAAATGTTTAAATTACAATATTGTTAAAGTTGTTTATAATACATTTGCTAAGCTTTAAAATCATTTGAGAAGGTGCCAGAGTAACCTGAGTTTTCTCCAGCATTTTGTGAAATATAGTTCTGCCACTCTCCTGCATGCTGCTGCACACTGCCAAGTCCTACACTGCACATTTTTTTAATCTAAGTTAGTAATTTAGTCATTTTCTTAAATTCTGTTAATTTTTTCTTTAATTGAGCAGGCAAGTAAGGCACTTTGACGATGGAATAAGACAATTTACATTAAAAAAAACTGCAGTCTCTAATCTCTCTTATTTCAAGCATATGCACTCAAAATAATCGTATTTTAAAGCTAAACATACTTATATAATAATACTTATTCCATCCAAATTTAAGGTAAATACACATTTTTTTTTTTACTCATTTTAATATCGTTTTTATAGTGTAGCTTACATGATTCGGTCAACAAACTTGTGGAAATCTGCTTTTACTTTGAAAGGTCAAAAACTAATGCTGTGGATGACAAACACTAAAACTGTAATGAGGAATAGTTTAAATTGTGGTTTTAACAATAGGATTAATTGTCACCTTTTGGGGTTTTGAAGGTAATTATATTTTGGCTTTCACAGTTTGTTAAAAACACAAGTCTGATACCAATAATATGTTCCCCTCTTTGTTTGTTAGCTTTTGTTTTTTAACTGCCCCTTATTCTGTTATTTTTGTACACTTTTTAAGGTCCACATTTGTGTGACCCGTTGCTATAATCTTTTGCTGCTGTAATACCCCAGTTTCCCCATTGTGGGACAGTAAATGGATTTTTTTATTCTGTTCCAGCTGCTAGGTCTTCCAGACATTGAAGATGACAGCTTTGAGCACTACCACGCTGACATGGAGGGGGAGCCTGGGCCCGACCACCAGCAGATGGGGGTCAGCCAGCAGTGATGATCCAAGCAGAGGACGCCCCAAAAACCTGCTCCAGAAGACTTGGGCCTTGATACCTTAGCTCACCTAACAGCACACACTCTTGCAAACCTATAGTAGACATGCTGAAATATCACCACCTTGTTCTTGAATGTTTCAGTGGCTTTGCTTTCCAAAGAGTGCACTTTGTTGACCTTCCCCTTCCTTTTATCAGAGAAACACATAAAAGATTGTATTTCTAAATATATTAGGATTTTTTGTTTGTTCTAGTAATTCCATATACGCCTCGCCAACATCACCAACCCAAACCATTACCAGTATACTCTTAAAGCTAAGCTTAACCACAGCTTAACTGAACCATAACACTAAGCCTAACCCCTAAAACAGTGTCCACCATGTTAGAACTGGTTTTTATCCCTAACAAGGTCTTAAAAATTCTCTAGAATATATCAGAAAATAGGTGATCTAGACAGGTACACACAAATACAAACATGCTCTACTGATACTTCAGAGCTAGGTGAGCTGTAGTGATATTTAAGGCCATAACAGGCGTCATAATCATTCACCTTCCAGTGAGTTAAAGTTCGACAGCACAGCAATATTACATCGGATATGCAGAAAAACAACAGAATGTTACGGCAATATGCAAACGTCCTCCCCGTGGTGATGAATGTGACAGATGGTTACTTTTTTCTGCCCGTCTGACATAAGTGATGCACACGTAAACAACGAAAAAATGTAAAGTGACAGTTTGGGGCAACACGGAGCAGCTGAAAGTAAAAGTCAAGCAGGTGCAGGAAAGAGAAGGGGGAAGTTAGTTGTGGCACAAATTCACCCGAGCAACGTCTAACATACTGCAGTTATATCGGTTATAGTGATTCCCTCAGTGCAACCAACTGTGTGGTCTAGAAACTCTGAAGTTTTTTTTTTTTTTTTTTAGAGGCATGGATCATTTAAAAGTGTTTGTTAATGTTCGTAAAGCTGTGCATCGAGCATTAGTTAAAACCCACCCCCATGAGGATCATTGAACCGCTGTTGCTATCTTATGACCGTCACAATAATAGCCCGTGCTGCAGCTTTAATCCTTCCTTATTTGGGTGTCTCATCACCATGTGACACCCCGCCTCTTGAATGTTGTAGTCTTCCTTCCGGTCCGAGGCGTGCTGCTCTTCCTTGGCAACACCTGAGGAGATACCTTTGTAAAAATTTGCCAAAATCCCTCTTTTCATGAAAGGTTTTGAATCTATTGTCTCATTTAAGGGTTTGTCTTAGTCATATGTTAGCAAAGGACACCTTCGCCACCCTTGGAGTACATGGGAGGAATGGGGAACTGGATGCTGTTGACCTCCCTGTTTACCTAGAGGCCAAAAAAAATGTGATTTTTATCTGTCTTCAATCTGGCTCCTGGGTTAGAGGTAGTTTGCTGCCCTACCCACATGTATTAGATACACAACATCCTGTATGTAAGGAGCAAAGAATTGATGATTTTATAATATGGGCTTAAACTTAAAAAAATACAGTTCATAAATCACACATTCCTGAAAGAAAAAAATAAGCTTTCGTGAAGCAAAGGTCTTAAAGGTCCCTGAGCTTAATAATTTGCTTCTTAAGTCCGACCTGGGTCGATTAAATGTTTCTACACTGGCTGCTAGAGGGAAAATGCTGTATATCTAATGCATCAACAATGTGCAAACATGCTCTTTCATCACATCATTTCTGTAGCTAAGATGCATGAAAACTCCTGTTTTGTTTCTCTGTTTTTCTCTGCTGCCTCTGGCCCTCCACAGTTAAACCTTCCATTTGAATCCCACCCAATGCACTGCAAGGCTTCCTATTGCTTTCTACAACTAGGTCAAGATAAAGCACGAACTGCTCCTCTGCCAAGTTACTTTGGCTTGTAAATGTTTTGTTATTTTGTTTTAATATAATTTGCCTGTCTGTTCTTTGTTTTTTTCATGCAGTGTATCCTCTGTTTGTCCTCTGACATGTGTGACATCGGTCAATAAATGGCGTGAACTAAAAGTCTTTGCCAGTGTTTGGTTTTTGGAACCAGAGATTTTCCTTTTCCAGGTTTCAGTTGAGGACCCTCGACCTGCTGCTCTGCTAACAGCCTGCTAGGGTTACTGGAGCTGACGTCAGGAGGCACCTGACCTGCAGCCTTCCAAAGCTGTGACAAGGTACAGCAATAACCGGATGTAAGGCTTACCCTTCAAAATAAAAGCTGAAAGGCTATTCATCTGAAGTTCACATTAATGGACAATGATTTTACTCAAGTTCAAATTTCTCCTAACAGGATAAGCATCTGTTATTTTATTAAAGTAACCTTAAATGCTTTCAGATATTTTTTTATGTGCAAGATGCTTTATTTAAGAGAACAAGAACACCATTTATAATTCTATCTAGTAAAGTTCAGCACTTCACCATGCCTTTTCTGAAACATTTGCAGGCATAAGGTTGACATGCCTGCAAACAGCAGCTTAAGTAGCAGCTAATCTTTATTAATCTGATGTGTTAAACACTTTATAAAAAAATTGAATTCAATCCTAAATGAGTGAAGGAAAGATTAAAATACAATGAGAACCAGCTTTAGGAAGCAGATGATAAAATAAAAATAAAATTCAATTCCATTTCACATGATTGCCTAAATATCATGCAGTGCAAATAGTGAGAGAATCCAGCTGTGTTTAACTTTATCTGAGATTAACTGCAGTTGTTCTCTTTGGATCAAAGGGCTTTATAAGACAAAATTAATGAACAAATATCATGAAGAGAGAGCCATCTGGCAGAAAGGTCAGGGATGCGGAGATGCTTAAATCAGGGTTAAGTCAGAAAACATAATTTACAGTTTTAAACATGGCATATTGCATAAAAGGGGTTTGGCGCAATTGCAAACCTACAGAGACGCTTTAAGTCAAGCAAGGAGAGAGTTGACCAGTGAAAAAGCAAACAAAGGCCTTAATAATTCTGGAGGGACTGCAGAGATCCACATTTCAGGTGGGAGAAAATCCCACATTCCACACCTCTGAGGAAGATCAGTAAGAAAAACTTGATTAAGGAATCAGAGGAAGCTGTTGGAGATCAGCAGAAGATGAAGGAGGATCTCGAGAGAAAAGCTGCAACATTTAAAACTTTGTAAAACCAAAAAAGGGGTTACAGTGCAGTGGTTTGGATTTGATTATAGCCTAGTTATCTAAAACTTTATCTATCTGAAGTGATGTGGTCTGATTAAAAAAATGCATTTAAGAGATGCTTTCCATCCAGTTGGAACAAAGCATTTAGTTAATTTGATAGAGCATTGAAAGAGTTAATAAGTTAACCTTTAGTTTCAATCATCTTTAAGCTTATGCTTTTATTTTGAAAGGGCGGGGCTTGTTTAAGTGGTTCGCAAGAGTGAGTTTGATCCAAGCGCTCCGCTGCAGGAGGAGGGGGAGGGCAATCCCTGCTTTTATTTTTCCTTCCTCGCGGCCGCAGTAAAGCTCAAAAACAAACTTGGGCCAGACGAGCTTCACGCAAACATTTGCGTGTCCGTGTTGGGCTGCTGTGGAGGGAGTGGGGTTCAGAAGAAAGAAAGAAAGAAGCGTTTTCCTCTTCATGTCTTCTTTGTTGCAAAAAGGGGAAGGGCTCCGCTTAGTAGGAGGAAAACAGAACAATTGAATATCAAGTTAGTGCGCTCAGAGTGCGCACTTTACGCACAGAGCGCACCGTTAAACTGTGAGATGTTGGATCGGTTGGATCGGTCTCGCCCTGCTTCAGCGTGTCTGTGTTTCCTTTGTTAGTGTCAGCTCTTCAGAGATCACTGTGATCATGCGACGTGGTTGAAAGAACCCAAACTTTCCAGCGCAAAACAACAACAACAAAAGAGACAACATGGGGGCCAAGCAGAGCAGCCCCGGGTTTGACGGCAGAACTCGCGCTTATTCCAGCTCAGATCTCCCTTCTCGGAACACGGCTGTGGCGGAAGGTATCACGGGGTTTAGGTACACAAATGGACCCGATGGCCCGAGGATCCGGTACACGGGTGGAGGGCCCACCGACTCCGGGCTGAGGATCCCCACCGGTGGAAGGTCAGGGTCAAACAATCAGGGTCTGGATAGCCCAGATGGAGATGATGGCCAGCTGTCCCCAGAGGCGCACAGGCTGTTTATTGGCTCCTTACCGTCTCACCTGTCTCCTCGCTTACTGGGAGGTAAGATCCTGAAGCACAGATTACACAACCAAAACAACAACACCTGGAGGACCTGAGATGGGGGTTCTGAATATATATTTGCATCATCTAAGGTAGATTATGTGATTTATTTGACCCCTTTTCACTTCTTTTAGCAAATATACCTCAATTGTTTACCCATAAAGGCAGAACTGGTTTACTTCCTGGTTTCATACTGACAGGTGATGCCTTCATGCTTGACTTATTATATCAGATTATGTTACTTTACCCTCCAGGCATGGGATTATCCAGGTAAAAATCACAAACTTTCACCAACTGTAAAGCAAAGACAAAAGTATGATCACTGCTGTTGTTGTCAGACAGATTGTAGTTCATCAGCTTTAGTTTTTAAGATTAAAAGTTAAAGAAATGAATAACAATAGTACATTTCTTTCAGCCAGTTGAGCTGGCAGTGCGCAGCAACAGGTGAAGGGGCAGCAATGTGTTCCGTCATTTCTCTATAAAGTCAGGTTACTCAAGCATCTCTTTAACAGGATTTATAACCACTTATAACCACTAAAAGGTTATTAATTTAACGTAAAGTGATGTCACAGCATGAAACCTTGCGATAATAAAGCTGAGGGATTTTTCTTGTCAAAGTGAATTCTGGGTCAGGTGGGTTTTTGAGCATATAACTAGAGAAGTTGGTGTACGCTTTTATTTTGGGTTGTGGACGACAGTTTTAAACTTGGCACCATTTTGTATCAGTGTTTGGGACTTTTATTTTGAAATAAGAAAGGAAATATTTCTTGAGTTGTCCTGTCTTATTGACACATAGACAATGAAAAAGTCCCCACAAATAAAAAAATCAGGCACTTTATTTTTGGTAATATTGGATCGAGATAAAACTTTTTTTTTTAAATGGTTGGATAAATATCGAGGTATAGTTTTATAGCACCATTTCCATTTTTAAGAGAGAGAGCAAAGAGTAATAACTAATGATAAACTCAACATGATTGCTTATACCAAATCATTTTTATTCCCCTATTTTCCAACACACAATCACTATGTTAACATATAAGTTCTTCTTCTTCTGTAAAATAGGAAACATCTCCAATCTGATTGGCTGTTTTTTTAGTGTTACGTCAACCTCATGTAATTACTATTTAACGACATCTATTGCCTTACTGATATTTTAAGGTTACCTCCTCATTAAATATGGAAGTTATTTATGAAAGCAAAGTAAATAAATGTTTAAAATTCTTAAAGATGAAAAGAATTAAAGGTATAGTGGAGGATGTTTGCATATCTTTGAAAAGAGCCGCCCTCTCCATGTAAAAAAAAATGTACACACATGCTCAACCCTGTACCCGCTCCTTAGAGGGAACGCCTATTAAACGCGTGCAAGAGCGTACAGGAGCCTATTTCTCATCGTGCACGCTCTTTTTAAAAGTTACTAGGACAACCACTTAGTTTGATGATCCACCCGGAAAAATATAATCCTCCACTATAACTTTAAAGTAAATCATAAATTATTCGTCTATTATTTATCATCTGTTTTTTTTTGCTTTCTTATTAATTTCACAGTAATCAGGGCCTCAAACATCCAACAGCCTTTACCTGAAAGTGGATTCAGGTCCAACCAGTCAATAAGTTTAGCTGAAGGCACAGAGCTGTTTCTTTTTTCAAAGGAAACAGGAACCTATTTTCATTCTGGTAACTAAGCACAGTCTGGAAAAGTTTCTTTGAAATCAGCAAAATATGAAATATGCCTTTGTCAAAAAAAAAAAAAAAAAAGGAACCTCTGCTTTTCTTTAAATTAGGAACGTCTAGGAGTTCGCCCTAACAGAGTTTCTAAAAGCTGCTGCTCTCATGAACAAATCGTGTTCGGTCTCGTCACCTCTGCTCACGATCATTAGATGTTACTGATGCAGTCAGAGCTGCTCAGTATTTTTCCATTTGACACTGGATACCTGGATACGTTTAATAGCTGTATGACGGCTGAGCGCTTTGTTTAGCCTCTTTATCGAAGCCACAGGTGGCTGTGCTGCTGCTGCGCTGCTTTGCCCTTTTGTCTTCCTTCTTCTGCTTCTCTTACGTTGTGCAAAACAGGCCAACTTTTTTTTTTTTTTCCTTGCTCTGACAGGGAAGAGTGCACTATGTAGGTCAACAGATAAGCGCTTCCTGCTGGTTACACATTGCCTGACATGGACAGACACAAACGCAGCTGAAACACAAAGGACGCTCACAAACTTCCTGAATCTGCAAGTCTAGCTGTTTTCTTCAGAACGAGATGGAGTCACCAGATCCGAGCGCAACAAAAGCCGGAGTCGAACCGACAGAAACGTAACGGTCATGGGGCTGAAAGAGGAAACAGTGCTGCAGTTTTAGAAAAAGGATCCATAAAAAGCCCAACTGAAACACCCCCCCTCCTTCTTTGAAGTTACTGGTAGAGGTAATGAGGAAGTCTAATCACTGATAACCTCATCTGTAACCTTTGCACCATGGGAGCCATGTGACTCTCCAGGCCCCACGCTGTTTTTAGAGTCCTTCATAAACACATGACATAAGCACGGTGTAGACTCCAGGCACAGTGCTATTTACAAAAGCTGCACTTCTTTATCTTTCTTTGGAGGTTTTAAGCTTTTATCATGTTTTAAAGGAGGCCAGTTCACAGGGCTTGTATTGCGCACCCGTATGCAAGAAGGCAGGCAGAAATGTGCAGGGGGGGGTATCCTCATATAGGCAGGACTAATAGAGTCAGCGGAAAGTGTTAGAACCAATTGGTTAAATACCAATGTGACAAAAAAAAAACATATTTAAAAAAAAGAAAAATTGAAATTTTAACCATATAAAACATTGCCCCA